GGGTATGATTTCTTGCTTTCTGTCTCTCTGTCTCTCTCTGGTGAGTGCACGCACCCTATAGCAAAATCTCTCTCTCTAAAAAAAAGTAAATGTCATAATGTACTTAGGAATTTTTGTAAACTCTAAATCATACAGCTTGTGAGTACTTCTAAAATGAGGGTGATATATTATTGATCTAAATCTACCTTGCAGTCATGTACCCCTAGTATGTAGCACAGGGCCTAGTATATATAAATGATTACAGAGAGTGGGAGATGGGGAGAGTGAGAGGGAAAGAAGGAGAAAAATAGAGAGGCAAGACATCTGAGGGACACAGAAATGGAGGATTGTCTGTTGATGATAATGTGTATGACATCTTCAAATAGACTGGTGGAATGTCTGTTCATGTTGGGTTAATTCATTTTACAGGCTACAGTGATGTACAGTGAGTGAATGTATAAAAAAATTGATAATTAAAATTTTAAAATAAATTTTAAAAAGATTGTTAACTGAAATTAAAATGAATTAAGAGTCTTAAACGTCTAAATATCTGATGATTTAAAAGGATTCATTGACTAGTCCTTTGTACTGGGCTAAATGGCCTCTTGGCCTCCTCCAGCTTTTAGATTCAAGGACTGACAATAAAATAGCATGTGGAGTTAGGAAGATTATTATAAGATAGATAAACTTTCAAATAAGAGAAGAAGCTGCAGGATTGTGTATTATGGGATGGTATATCATACAACATGAATAACATAATGTAATGTTCAGTATTGAAGAAGATAAATACATATATCCTTGATTTGATTATCATACACTATATACATACCTTAAGGGGGAAAAAAAGCAGAAACATACTGGAGCCAGCCAGGTGGCATGGTGGTTAAGGTGGCTGGATTCCACATGGCAGACTGTACATTCAAGTCCCAGAGCTGGTGGCTTGAAAAACACTCTGGACACGTGTGTGTTCATGTGTGCCCAAAATCCCAAGAATGGAGGAGAGGGGACTGTGACGTGGCCGTCCCTCCTGGGAGATGATTTCTTTTTTTTTTTTTTTGGAGAGATTTTTCGCTATAGGGCGTGTGCACTCGCCAGACAGACAGAGAGAGACATAGAGACAGAAAGCGAGAAATCATCCCCCAGGGGGGATGGTCACGCCGCAATCCCTTCTCTTCCATTCTCCTCTCGGGATCCTGGGCACGCACGCACACGCGCCCGGCGTGAGTTTAAGCCACTGGGTCTGGGACGCGAACCACGGTCGACTACGTGGGAGTCCAGCGACATAGCCATTACGCTAACTGCTGGTTCCCCTGGGGGATGATTTCTCACTTTCACTCTTTCTGTCCCTCTCTCTCTCAGGCCAGCACACATGCCTCATAACAAAACTAAAACAAAACAAAACAAAACCATACTGTAGCCAACAAAGATATATATTGATTATATATAAACCAGAAATCATTTAAAAAGCTTTCCAGGAATTGCTTAATGTTCTAAACAAAACAAAACAAATAAACATGTAGCAGTTGATGGAAAGAAAGATTTTCCCCCAGGATCACAAAACTGCAAGATAGAAGTAGTTAACACAAACTGATGGCTCCCAGCGACGGCTGTGTTTTAGCTGCCCTCAGACCTATGGGCAACACACAGATTCTCACAAACCTTTGTGGCAAGTTAAATTCTATTTTAAACCCATCATTTCTCAAATGGGCTTGAAAGCCCAGTGGAATTGCAATGGCATCTGTTCAGTACTGCAGGACATGTCATGTGCCCAAGGGAAGAATCTAGGGAACATGTTCTACCTTATGAGGGATCTGGGGCAGATGGTGGTGGCACAACCTAGAGTGCACTTCTGCCACAGATGACTGAAATGTTGGACTAAGTGATCCCAAGGAACTGGTGGAACACAGTCTCTCTAGTAGTCTGTAAGTGGTAATAATTTGATTTTTCAAGGCTCATGAATTGGCATCATTTGGAGTGTATCTGTCATGGACCTTTGCACTTTGGAAGGAAATGAAATAAAGTTCTAAGGAAATTTTAAATGTCTCAGCAAACTTGGTTATTTTTATTTGTTTTTAAAACTACGTTTTATTTCTTGAAGACCCCATTATTGTGGTTGTTTTTCTTTCCGTCATATAAATGTGGAACTCCGATTATTTCCGACCCTTTGTGTCTGGAATATTTTAGTTTGGAGAAAATGAGATGGTGACATTACTACTTTCTCTCTCAAACCAAGGGCACTATTTGGGCTTTATGCCAAAGGGTTGGGAAGGCAGATGTAATCATGAATTTGTGGTCTCTGTAGAGTAGGTAAGGCTTTCAACCCTTGTGGAAGCTGAACTTACAAGGAAGCTTAGCAGTTATCCTTCCAGATGTCCAGCTTACAAATACCAGAGGTGTTATTTTCAATATCAAATGTATAGATAAGTACCATGGGTTGTTTTTTCGATCTAGAGTCACATTCAGTGGATAAACTTCATTTCCAGATCTGGCAGTCTGTCAGATAGCTCCCTTTAAAGTTATCTGGAGAAAATCTACCAAAAATGATTAAATTCATGATCATTTTTATTCTTGGCTAGGAACTTGCCTCTCCTCCAGGGCTCAACAGGCTTAAATTGTTATGTGAGTTTGTACAGTATATAGTTTGTTGTCAAATATTTATCTCTGTCTAAAAATTAAATGTCCTGAGATACAATTTCTTTTTAACTGAATAAATCAATAAGAGAAAGAAATAACTTCTCATTTAGCCAATTTTTAATCAATATTTTTCATGAAAGGCTGAAATGTTAGCTGAATCTTGGCTTTTGTCATTTGAAATATAATTTGTGTGTTTAAGAATTTATGTGCCCATCAGAGTTTGGACTTCATGTACTGAAAGGAAAATTGATTTATAGGCCCAAACAGCTGCAAGAGTAGAGCCAATGCCAGAAATGAATGCGAGTCAATTATTTAAGGCAAATGGGACCTTAATCACCACAGCAATAGAGAAATCTCAAATTCAATTACACCCTGGATTTTCATGCTTTGATTTGTGGGCTTTTCTTTATCTCTTATTTTACAGAGGCCTTTGAAATTGTTGTTCGCCATGCCAAGAACTACACCAATGCCATGTTCAAGAACAACTACCCAAGCCTGACCCCACAAGCTTTTGAGTTTGTGAGTGAATTTTTCACAGATGTGTCTCTCTATATCTTGGGTTCTGACATCAATGTGGATGACATGGTCAACGAACTGTTTGATAGCCTGTTTCCAGTTATTTATACCCAGCTAATGAACCCAGGCCTGCCGGAGTCAGCCTTAGACATTAATGAGTGCCTCCGAGGGGCAAGACGTGACCTCAAAGTATTTGGGAATTTCCCCAAGCTTATTATGACCCAGGTGTCCAAGTCACTGCAAGTCACTAGGATCTTTCTTCAGGCACTGAATCTCGGAATTGAAGTGATCAACACAACCGATCACCTGAAGTTCAGTAAGGACTGTGGCCGAATGCTTACTAGAATGTGGTACTGCTCTTACTGCCAGGGACTGATGATGGTTAAGCCTTGTGGTGGCTACTGCAATGTGGTTATGCAAGGCTGTATGGCAGGCGTGGTGGAGATTGACAAGTACTGGAGAGAATACATTCTCTCTCTGGAAGAACTTGTGAATGGCATGTACAGAATCTATGACATGGAGAATGTACTTCTTGGCCTTTTTTCAACGATCCACGATTCCATCCAGTATGTCCAGAAGAATGGAGGGAAGCTGACAACCACTGTGAGTACCAGTCTACAGTTTTGAGAGGGATTGGGCCTTAATGGGGTAGGGTGGCCCGGCCAGTAGCAAGCATTGACGGAGAGAAATGAGGAAAAAATTAGAGGGTGGGCAGTGATTACAGATCACAAAACAAGGCAGTACATTAAGACCATGGGCAATAGCATCATAAAGTTTCATTTTGAATTTTAGCTCCACCCACTTCCTTCCTATGGAACATTGGAGAATCATTTTGTCTTAATGAGCTTCGTTTTTCTGATTTGTGAAATAAGGATAAAAAGAATATCTCCTTCACAGGGAATAGTCTGTGTTAAAGTACTTAGCATCTCTCTGGTACATGGTAAATCTTCAATGGATATTAGCTATTATTACCATTATTGTCAGTTATCATAATTCTCATAACAACCCTATGAAGTGGGAGCTGTTATCTTCATTTTATAAATGAGGAAATTGAAGCTAAGTGAAACTGCAGTTTGCCCAAGGACACCCAGCTATAGTTAGTGGAAGAGCCATGATTGAGAAATTGATTAGGTCTCCTTTAATTTGGTTATCACTGATTTTTCTATTGTGATTTTACTATCAAGCTGTTAATCATGTGTATCCCATTACCATTTTGAGTAAAGACTTTGAACACAAGAGACCCAGCTGGAACTCACTAACTAAACCTACACAAGAGCTTAAACAAGACAAAACATCCATGTTGCCTAGCAGTTGTGTTTGTAGCCATGGTTATGCCTGTCTATGGCTGATGGGATGTGTAATGGGGACAGGACATTCTGTAAGTGAGGCAGCAGTATGCTTGGTTTCTGCCAGACGTTGTTAATCACAGAACCAGGTGATACCCACTTCCCATGTAGAACAGGACAGCAGAGAGCTACCAGCTAGCTGCCCCTAAGGTAGCAATTTATTCCTGAATGCTGTCAGCTTTGTAGGAGGTGGGAGAATAGTATTATGCATACCACTGTTGGGCTCCTACCACATCTCAGGTTCTCTGCTGGCAAATTTATATAATATTACTGCACAGTAACTCCTGAGGTTCTCTGCTGGCAAATTTATATAATATTATTTCACAGTAACTCCCAAAATAGGTTCTAATATTTTCCCCACTCTACACAGAAGGATATAAAGCTTAGTGGGGTTAAATACCTTGCCCAAGATAACAAAGCTAGTTTAGTGGGAGGAGCTGGGATTTGGTAGCTTTGGTTGACTCAAGCGATTACCTTCTTCTATATACTGCAACTCTTGTATACTCTGAGCCATTGCTTTTCTAGAACGTGGAGGGCAGTTTGAGCCATTAAGCCTTGTCTTTAAACTCTGGAAGTACAAAATGATAGGGGTAATTGGTTTCTTTGGTGAATTAAAATAGGAAGGAGGACAAAAAATGATGCAACCCTCGGCATGGCTACTTATGGAGCTGCTCTAATTGCCCCATTCACAATGTTAGCCATTTAAAACACATTTGCTGAGAAAATATTTTATAGTAAAATGAACGGAAATGTCCTATCTAACGATGGTGTTCTTTAGTGGCTAATTATTCCCTTGACTGCTTTATAATTTGAAGCCAGATTCTGCTGCCTTATGCAAAAGTAAATCTCACGGAACTAGAAAACAAAAAGTAAATGCATTTATATGTTTGTTCACCTACTACTGATTGAGGGCCAACTATGTGTATACAAACAAGGACACCAGAGATTTAAAAATGTCTTCAGTAAGAGAAAAAATGAGACAACCTTGATGATAGGGTGTGTGTTTAAAGGTAGCCTCTGATATTGGTGATTTGACAGCAATGTAATTGATCTTGAAGATAGGTCGGTCTGTAGTGCTTTCACACACACACACATACACACACAAATGAAGTAGGGAGCTTGTAAGGAATTAAATGCACTGTTCTGATCAGGCACTAGACATGAAAGTTTATTTAGTAAATACTTATCTGCTTTGTATATGGCACTTTGTTACATACTGGGTATTTGAAACTATGCAAGACATAGTTCTTAAGTCTTAAAAAGGCTAGTTGGTAAACAGACACGTAAATAAATAAATTTCACCATAGTGAACATTTCACTGTGATATGAATGTTGGAAGGGCCTTGAGAGATTAGCTAGTCCATTCCCATCGATTTACAAATGAAGAAATAAAGTTCAGGGAGGCTTACCCAAAGTTATATAATTAATGGAAGACCGAGTAATAGAATCCAAGGTCATCTACTTTTGCAATCTAATCCTCCTCCTGCCATAACAGTCTGTCCCCCAGTAGACTTTCCCAGACTTTTGCTCTAAAAGCTCCTTAAGATTTTGCAAAGACCTAGTGAACTTAAATTGGACAGCTACTTCAGGTTTCCAAACCTTATACATTTTAGGTACATGCACACACACGCACACGTGTGCATGTGCACCTGCATGCATGTATGTGTGCAGGAAGAGTACATTTCATGTCATTATCATGGAGGAAGAAAGGCCTTGGCCGTCAAGAGGTGTTCAGTGATGCAGTCACTTTCTGTTTTGGCCGTTAAGGGCCTGATTGCTCCCAGCTCCCAGCTGGTTATGAGAGTGTGAAGTCTGCCATCTCCAGGGAATGCCTCAACTAAACCAGAAAGCATATGTAAACTTCCTTGCTCCTATTCTATGATCACCAGCTCTAAATAATATGTACCAAATGGCAGGGGCAGGGGAATCATTGGCCAGGTGTGATCCAGCCCGTGCTCTGGGCCAGAAAGAAGTTAGGCCACTTATAGGGGTGAGAGGAAGTGAGGGCTGTGTAAGCTGCAAAATTGTATTCATGTTAACAAACCCACAGAATGCCCCAAAGCAAAAGCTGGTTGAAAACTAAAGCAATAATGAGATTCTGCTGTAGCACCCTCACCTTCCTGTTGTGATTTAAAAAAAAAAAAAAAAAAAGAGAGAGAGAGAGAGAAAAAAAAAGTAAAGCCCTGCCAGTTAGTCCTTCTTGACGTTCAGCTGTGGTAAGAGGCCTCTTTAAAATTGTTCTTCCTGGGGTCAGCAGGTGGCATGGTGGTTAAGGTGCTAGATTCCCATATGGCCAACCGCAGTCCGAATCCTGAGCTGGTGGCTTGAAACTCATGCCAGGCATGTGTGCATGCATTCCCAAAATCCCAAAAGGAGATAGGATTACGGTGTGGCCATTAGCCCTGGGGATGATTTCTTGTTTTCTGTCTCTGTTTTTCTCCAGTGAGCACAGATGCCCTATAGCAAAAATCTCTCAAAAAGAAATAAAAATGTTCTTCCTGGGACCAGCAGGTGGCGTAGTGGTTAAGGTGCTGGATTCCCATGCGGCTGACCGTGGTTTGAGTCTTGTGCCTGATAGCCTGATAAATCACATTGGGCACTTGTGACTTTTTCCCCCCAAATTCCAGAAGGATGGGAGAGAAGGGACTGCAGCATGGCTATCCCCACAGGGCATGATTTTTCACTTTTCTTCTCTCTGTCACTCTCAGGCAAGTGGACACTCCATGGCCAAAAACAAAAACAAAAAAAAACAAAAAAAAAAAACACCCAAAAACAAACTATAAAAAAAATATAAGTGCCCAAGTTGATTCTGATGCTCCCTTGGGAGCAAATCTAGCCACCATCTAGAGGTTGGAAGGGAATGGCCCAAGTTCAACAGGCAGTTAGTGGAAAACCCAGGACCTCAGATCCTTTACCTGTAAAATATGAGGTTGATACATGGGGAGTAAATGAAATGATAGGTTCAGGAACATGGCAAGTGCTTGCAAAGTTCCAGTCCAAATGGACAATGGATTTTTCTTCACCCTCTTTTTAAGTGCCATGATCTCTTAATGTTATTTCAGTACAAAGAAGTGGATAAAGACAGTAAGTGTGTGAAAATGTATGTGCTTGTGTGCATGTGTGGATGCATACATATGCAAGAGGAGAGAAGGGAGGGAGGGAGGAACTTTGCACTAAAAATTTTTTTTTAAATATTAATGATGAAACTGTTCATAGATCCATTTTGACCCTTCATATAAATTTGCAAACTAGGATAAATATCTTGGCCCCAAGTGAGTATTGAGTAGGTCTTTAATAGTATTTGGTTGAATGTATCACTGTTAAATAGATCAACACATTATTGAATTCCACATCTTATACCTTGAAGCAATTACAAATATGTACAGTTTTCAAGACATTTATTTTCAATACTATTGTTACACCTGAATTGTTCAATGCTATATCTTCTTTTGTAAATGCAACTCCTTTTTAAAAAAGAATTATTTATTTTGTTTATCATTGTTATTATTTTTTAATTTGCTACAGGCACATGAGAGAGAGAGAGAGAGGGTGAGAAAGCAAGCTACCAGGTCCGGGACTCGAACTGTGATCAGCCATGTGGGAGTCCAGTGCCTTAATCACCATGCCACCTGCTGGCCCCTATAAATGCAACTTCTTATTCTGAAAACCATTTTGATTGTCATTACCATATATCTATGTATGGACTATATGTGTAGCCATTGCACATTTTATCTAGAAGTCATCTATTCATTCAATGAGTAATAATCGGCATGTTGAGTGTTTATCCCTCTCCCAGAAACTTCTCAAAACTTTCTATGATTTTGTTTACTTTCTAATCCCTAAAGTGATTGCTCACATATCCTCACATTGTTGTTTGCACTTTTATTTTTACAGTGTATACTCATGTACTTTATTGATTCATTAATGCTTCCTCCCCCACAATTTCATTACTTAGGCTTGTTATAAGCTTCACTGGATGTTGTGCAAAATTGTAACCTTTTCTACCACCGCTGTTTCTCCTTCTCTTTCCTCATCGTGGTATTCTATTTAGCACTACCTGAAATAGGATTTGTTTCCGGAAACGTCTTTTGAGCATCTAATTGTGAAAGCACTATGGTAGACACTAGGGATTGAAGGGAGTGGCTGGACAGATGACCATGGCTCTGTTGCTGCCCTCAGGGGTCACTCAGCTAGTAGGTGATAGAGCTAGGATGAAAAGCTGAATCTGACTCCACAGCTATATGCTCTCAGCCATGA